GGACCGACCAGGGTTATTTTTAAGCGCACCAGTGCGGAAAGGATTTTGACGCGATTGAATTAAGAACACCCGGTTTTGGTCCGACCAGGGTTATTTTTAAGCGCACCAGTGCGGAAAGAGTTTGACGCGAGAATTAAGAACACCCCGGTTTCTGTCCGACCAGGGTTATTTTAAGCGCGCCAGTGCTGAAGGAGTTTAACGCGATTGAATTATGAACATTCCGGTTTTGGTCCGACCAGGTTATTTTAAGCGCACCAGTGCGGAAAGGATTTTAACGCGATTGAATTATGAACACCCCGGTTTTGGACCGACCAGGGTTATTTTTAAGCGCACCAGTGCGGAAAGGATTTTGACGATTGAATTATGAACATTCCGGTTTTGGTCCGACCAGGTAAGATGCGCACCAGTGCGGAAAGGAGTTTAGCGCGATTGAATTATGAACATTCCGGTTTTGGTCCGACCAGGTTCGTTTTTAAGCGCGCCGGGCGGAAAGAAATTTGACGCGATTGAATTATGAACACCCGGTTTTGGGCCGACCAGGTTATTTTTAGCGCGCCAGTGGGAAAGGAGTTTAACGCGATTGAATTATGAACATTCCGGTTTTGGTCCGACCAGGGTTATTTTTAAGCGCACCAGTGCGAAAAGGAGTTTGACGCGAATGAATTATTAACACCCTGTTTTGGACCGACCAGGGTTCTGTTTTAGCGCCAAGGCGGAAAGGAATTTGACGCGATTGAATTATGAACACCCCGGTTTGGACCGTCCAGGTTATTTTTGAAGCGTGTCGAAGGCCGCCAGTGCGGAAAGGAGTCTATCAGTGATTATTCACAGACAGTTAGTTTTTAATAAATCCAAAGCCACGAAACTGATAGAAATTTTGCATTTAGATGATATTTGAATTTTTATCATAAATCGCGTAAAACGAACATTTAAAAATCATGAAAATTGTGTTGGAAATTTGTAATATAATATATTAACACAGATTTTTGAACTTTAAATGCTTAATCAAATGAATAAATGTATTATTTCATAATAAATGCTTTTTATATTTTCAATTAAAATTTAATACTACTAGGCATCTACATAAAATTTCATCACATATGTACATATCAATTTGGCGATTTCTTTTATTTTCATTGTTTCATCTTTGTTAGTGATCTTCAACAGCAGCAACAAATCTCTTCGCATATTTTTGTAGGATTTCAAAGTGGCCCTCCATCCTTTTCCAATTGCTAAACGTCAGACCTATTGAACTTTGACAGTTTCCTGAGTTCAGGAGATTTTGACGTTTATCAATTGCGCTCTCATATCCAGCGAGAGATGAGTTGGGCATCTCTTTATCTCTGGTACGAACGCTCGCTATGTACGCCTTATTCACAAGTCATTTGCCGCAGTTAAGGACGTTTCGGTTGTTTGTGTTGCATATTGCAGTGAAGGAAAAAAGGCACAGCAATGTTGGTCAAATTTTACGTGGTGCTTCCTCGATATGCGTGAATAATTTCATTCATATATCATATGCAAATGACAATAAATATTGGTTTTGCAAAATAAATTTAGTGTTGGTGAAAATTAATTTTAAATAATTTGCCGAGGAGGCTGGTTATCGAATTAAATTTCAACCCGATCGTCATGTTTTTTCGGATTTGACAAGGCCTTGACAGTAGTCCAAAGCTTACTCACACCGGTGGAGAAGTTCCAAGACTTCATGTGCTCTACCCATTTCGTCCGCATATGCTGATTAACCATTTGCCGAATCTCCAAATTGAGATCCCTTATTCGAGGATCGCAGGGATCGGCATGGCGTAAACTCTCGCCCTCTTTTGCTAAAATAGCTGCTTCGACTGGGAAATTAGGGCAGAATTCCGCAATTCTTTCAGTAGGGCGAAGCGAGTGGTACCAGTTGCGATCACCTTGCGGACGTCCGTAGAAATGGGTAGTGCGATAAAGGTTAGAGCTGCAAAACTATCGATAGTCCGACCACTCGACAGTCTAAAAAAATACTATCGTGAATATAATGTATTTTATATTGTTTAAATTCTTTCTATAGTTTAAGTTTTATGATTGAAATAAAATAAACGAAACATTAAAACAGTCGCCACCAATCACTAAATGCATGGTTCAGGTAAATCTGATAAAGTCTAATAACTTCGGTTGTAAGCACACAATTTGGTACACATACCTATTTTAGTAAGAGGAATCAGTATACCGATTTTCGACTTCTTAGCTTTAGCCGTTTAGTTGATGCCAACTTTTAGGTCATCGCCCCATTGTGCGTCGCTTCGTTTCTATATTCGTATTCTTAAAGTATAATATATCGTAACGCCAAAGAAATTTTAAATTAAATTGAGCATGATAACGCCCAATAGCGCATTTGTATTTAAAGTTGTTATTTGTTGTTTAGCAGGTAATATTTTAACCATTTAGTGAATTTAAGTACAATAAGACAATAATAATAACTCCTCCTCCTGTTGCTTTAGCTTTGGATTTTTTGTGTACCACTTTTTTCTTTATTTTGAATTTTAAGACATTCATACCTTAAAAATATACATAGATAAATATTAAACACTTTCATAGATATAAAAATGCAATTTTACAAATTTTATTTACTTTATGCTAACCGTCTCCGTCGCGACATGGAAGTGCAAATGAATTTATATGAGTTTTTCGAAATTCAAAAAATATCGAATGTATGAAGATGTGAGGTTATATGCAACCAGCATTTCAGAACATCAGAAATTCTTACCTCATTGTAAATATTTCCGAATCTAACACCTTATTAAAGTGTAAAAAATAGTTTAGTAATTTGTATCGATACTATTGATTGTTTTGCAGCTCTAGTGAAGGTGCTGTCGGTAAATTCTGTGGAGCCGACCCAATTAGTTTTGTTAAAGTTAACGAAGGTACGGTTGTCTATTGAAATAAAGTCGGGAGATTTCTCGATTGAGGTAATTATGAGCAGATGGTCTGATGCGAGAGTTAGGTTAGGATCGCCCGATGCGGCGAGCTATTGACAAGTGCACATAATTCTGGTGGGGGCTTCATCATTCATTGTGCAGAACGTCAAATAGTCTATCTGTTCCAACAGGTAGGTCTTCTAACACTCTACTATATCAACTTACGCCTGAAATCCAGAATTCGCTGGAAAATTGCGAAATGGCGATATGTGCCTTGCTAGAAATAGGTGTCCTCGTGAAATAGGTATGTGGAAATAACACTGTCTAAAGCTACAAAAGAACTCATGGTATGCAGACGTCTGGCTGTATACCATGATCGTGATACTTAATGTTACTTATGGAGAGGTTGCTTGGACATCGAAGGCATCGCAGACTTCGATAGGACTTCAACTATCAAAGCTGCAGACTTGCCTGCGTCTGCGAATCTGGGCAGGGCATCGAGTCCAACCCGGGCCCCAAGAAATTCTTCTGCTGCATTAGCGCCAAAAGACTTCATCCTAACTCCACCTCGGTTAGGTTCAATACATGCAATGGATGGAGCTATCTTAAGACCTGCTCAGGTCTTAAGACCCATAGGTCTCCATTGTCTCATCCGAGGAAACATGACGACCGAGTTGAAATTTAATTCGATGACCAAACCTCCTCGCATCTGAAGAAATGCGCAAGCTATTTTAGCCGGCAATTTACACTGCACCCTTCGGCAGACAAAACCAAGCGATGTGTTACCTGGCGGCTGCGCAAAATGCCTAAAGACCGCGCACCTCTTACTTTCACCGATAGAGTGCCATAAACAAGGCCAAAACGTTCAAATCTATCCCTGAAGGAATAAGCATGCTGATGCTAAAACCCTTATGCTAGACGGGAATAAGTTATCTCACCAAGGTCCTCAACCTGTCGCTGACCACTCTTCAAATACCTGATGTGTGGAAAGTCGGAAAAGTGGCCCCACTACTGAAACCTGGGAAACCCGCCAACAAAAGGGAATCTTATCATCCGATAACTCTTATTTCCCCAGTAGTAAAGACACTTGAGGCCTTCCTACTCCCGACATTTACTCACCACCTGAGTCTAGCAGACCATCAGCATGGCTTCCGTAAAGTGCACAGCACCACCACAGCACTTCATGGCCCAAACTAGAAGCCACCCTGCGAGAGGACGATCCTCGTAGCGTCAACAGCTTTTGACACAGTCAACCACACAACGCTACTTGAGGACCTAGAACAATCCACGCTCCCTCCAGGGCTGAGGCGGTGGACTATGAACTACCTGAACGGTCGGCATTCATCCGTACTGTTTCGAGTTCAAAACTCCGAACTTAGAAGAATTAAACATTGCTTCCGCAGGGCGGTGACCTCTCCCCGCAAGGGGGGCCATCAACACTTTCACCGTCTCCTTCTCAGTGAATGGCATACTTGCAGTCAAAGCACCACCCATCACAGACGTAGAGCTCGAGTTGACACGTGAATATTAAGTGACCTTCTAACAGGTTCAACTCCTACTTATCCAGAATCGACCCCGACATACCCAATATATATCCCGCATAACACTAACCACCTCTTTGTCAACGAACCCCACTCATCTAACACCCATTTCCCTATGGTCCGACCCCGTCGAAACAGCTCGTTTCCTGGGTCTCCCGTTAGATGATCTCGACGACAACCAAACTGAAACTTACCACCCAAGCGGGGACTAGATAACCATTACAATAACAACAACAAATTCTACTGGGGCTCACACCGCTCCACATAATAATCAATCAGACAGCGAAGCATACCATTCTACTCATGGCAGCAGAGGGGTGTGAAAAAAGGAGGATAGTTTCGTCTCTACAAATTAAGGCCTTAGGTAAAGATACACCACTGGCACTTCTTCCAAAGGAGCTTAAAGTTTCTTTCGGCAGTAAGACTGCCTGGAGTGATTCCTCGATCAGAGTGCTGGACCTTTGTGAATTTATGTAATAGAGGAGAGGGCACAATATACCATAGATCGCGGTGCAAACGTTAATTATTTTCTCTTCTATTCTGCCCTTAAAATTATAAATTATTATCCATTTTAAATGCTAGTAATTTTATTTTTATTAAAAAATATACAAGTTAATTATGATCTGTATTGCGTCCAATATCTACCCAAGTAATTATTTGATGACCATCTTTATCTAAATCATCAAATTGCAAATACTGTACAGTGCTCACTTCGGCAACATCGCTTATAACTTCTCCTGTGTGCTGCGTAATTAGTTGCAGTGCTTTGCCAACACTTGAATTTGAATCTTGTGATTTGGAGCTCGCGGGAACTTCGTTAGTTTCATCACACAAGTCTACAAGGCTCATGTCTCTTTCTAAAGTCAGCGTCCTTTTGTCACTGATATTTGGTTGGTTAATGATAATGGTGTCGTTCGTATGCCCTGCAAGTTTCATATGTGTCAACAATAAAGGCTTGCGCATGAAGCCAACACCGCATTTCAGACACTCATATGGCTTTTTTGTGCTATGTACGTAACGATGAGCATTGCGATTAGCACAACTGTTAAATTCCTTACCGCATATTTCACAAGTATATGGTTTAGTATTTCCGTGTATAAGCATATGTTTTTTCTTATGTTCAGGATAAACAAATGAAGAACCGCATATTTCGCATTCGTGAGGACGCACACCTGTGTGTACTGCATTGATATGATATTGTAATAAACGGCGTCTTTTAAACGAACGGTCGCACTGATCGCACTTGTGTAACTTCTCATTTAAATGTGTGGACTTTCGGTGCGTCATTAAGTTTGAACGCTGTGCGAATGCAGCATCGCACATATCACATTTATAAGGTTTCTCTCCCGTATGTATACGTTCATGATCTTTAATCTCAGCACGACGTGCGAATGATTTGCCACAAGTTCGGCATATAAACGGTCGCTGACCAGTATGCACAATCTTATGCACATCTAAATTGTGTTGGGTGCTAAAGTCCTTTGAGCAAATATCACATATGAACGACTTTTCTCCTATGTGTAGCTTCTTATGGTGGGAGAAGGTTTGTTGGTTAAGAAATGTTTTATTACATTTATCGCATTTATATGGGCGTAATCGTTCACTGTGAATTTTCATATGCCCTTGCAATGTATATTTTGATGCGAAGTCCTTTGGGCATTTCGAGCACTTGTATGGTCGACGACCGGTGTGCATATTCAAGTGATCAAGCAATACTTTTCGGCAACTGTATTTCTTCTGACAATCTGAACATTCGTATTGCAAAGCAGTGTTGCTGTGAGTTCGTTTGTGTACATGCAACAATTGATTATCGCTAAAAACTTGTTGGCATTCTTCACATGAATTTTCTAGGTTTTCAACTTGTTTGATGTTAGACAAATTTAAATGCATACTTTCTATATGTTCTTTCATACTTTCAATTGAAAGGAAACCAGCAGAACAAATCTCACAAGAATAAAAGTTCAAATCATGATTTGTGAGCATATGCTCTGCAAATGGTTCTGCTGCCATTGTCTTTTGTTCCTCGCACAATAAGCAAAAGTATAGATTGTTTTCTTGTTCAAAAACCATTTTAATTTGCACATCCTCTGCCACGACATTAACATTTTCAGGATTGTCTGTTGTAATTGCATAATTTATAGTGGAAGCTATGTGGATTATTTAAAAAACAAATTAAATCTGATTTTAAAAAATTGCATGAAACGAAAAATACATTTATTACAAATTCTAAATGCCATATTTCACTTGGTTAGTCTAATGTTTGCGTATGTCGAGCACCACAGTAGACCCTACCCCTGTACCGTGACGATATAATGATCAGCATGATGAGCTGAGGTGATTTAGCCATGTCTGTCTGTCTGTCTGTATAAACGCAAACTAGTCCCTCAGTTTTTAAGCTATCGATCTGAAACTTTGCACCTGTCCTTTTCTCACTAAGAAGCTGCTCATTTGTCGGAACGGCGGATTTTGGACCACTATAGCATATACCATGCGATCGGAATCAAGTGCTTGTATGGAACACTTTTTTATTTAACGAGATATATTCACGAAATTAGATCGGAATCAAGTTCTTGTAAGGAACCTTTGTATTTGTGAGGGTTATTATAACTTCGGTACAACCGAAGTTAACGTTTTTTTTGTTATTGATTGTTTTATTATGTTCGAGGTAATCGATGAAAAAAATTCCAATTGAATTTCAAAAAATATTAAATAAAATCAATCCATTTTTGGAGCTGCTCTCATTATTTTATGTTTAAACAGACGGCTCGAAAATGGTAGAGGATATTAGTACAGGTATGATCAATGCAATCAGCATGTATGTATGATCGGTATTGTAATGTAGAGTGGAGCTACTATAAACCAGAGATAATAGAACACAAAAAGTTCAAGCAACTAATTGTTCTTCCAAAGACAAACTTAGGCAGTTAGTGCCGATTTATAGGCCACTGCAGGCTAATATGTCATCTGCACAAATTAGGCTTCTGTTCTAGAGATCAATGTTAGTTCTTCCACCTTGCAGCCTTGGTAAAACTTTTACAAATAACAATAATAAGAAAGATACAATTAGGAACATATAATGTTATACCCACATTTGTTATTAGTTTTATCTGGATCATATATTAAGGGCCCTTTGTTTTTACCGTCTACGGGATGAGTTAATTGTTCAGAGATTCTTGTACCGTCGTGTTGCATATGAAAAATCATCAAATCTGTAAAAAAAAAAGAATATATATTAAATTATGCGTGCGATACAAAAAAGTACTATACGCATACGAACATTTATCGATATTTGGTAAAGTTTTTAGAACTCAACCCAAATGTCACAATTATTTTATTATATTATTATTTATACTAACTGCGTTAAAAAATTTGGAATGTAAAAAAAATACCATTGAAGTTTTCAATATATGTATATTTATCTATATATATAAAAATTACGTGCTACGTTAAACTGAACCGATTTTAGTAAAATTTAGCACACTGTGCCCAGTTTGATTAATCTTAAAAGTTAGGATAGGCCGAGACGTTCGGATGCCTGATTGGTGATAATGAAACGAGTTTACAGCTGGTCGCTCATAGTTTGGGTGAACATGCTACACAGGTAAGCATGGCTGCGCAATGCTTAAATTAACTACTTATTCCTTTACTTTGTGTATTTTTTAAGTGTTTTTAGATGACACACAATACTTTCCATTTTGCTGGTGTCGTCAAATACCGCAACATTGGGTGTGGAACGCCGAGAAGGCTAAGAATGTGATGTGTAATTTGGAGCACACCACCTTGCGGGAGGTAACGGCCAACACTGCTATTTATACGTAGAGGACTGTCATCTATAAAAGATCAAGAATTCGTAAATGTATACTATGAGATGCCCAATTTCAATCCAACACGCGTTTCGCCATGGAGAAGGAAATGAATGCTGTGCTGTAGTTATACGGCTTGTAAGCCAACTATCGTCCTTTGGCTTTATTGTGTGAGGTAATGACAGCTTACTGAATACAAGTCAATTATATATTCTAGATGTTATATATAATTAACGTTCATATATCGGCATTATTATAATATATAATTATGAATAATTTAATCATAACTCGCCAATAATGTATATTTCTATGTTAAATATGTATATATACTTTATTTATTGGAATTTTTTTTTTAACATTTTTTCTTCTGGTTCATTTTAGCACAAAGATATCTTCATCTTAACTAAAAATCTTTTGTTTGGATAGAAAATGTCATCAGCTGATATTTTAACAATTTGTTTGATTGTCTTAACATAGATAACCCATAATAATAATTAGCTTGGTTACCAAACAAATGTTAATATAACCAAACAAAATTTTACGTAAACTAAAAAAAAAATGCTATGTTCGAATTTCAGTACAATTTTTGATGTTTCTTAGCCAAGCCAAGGTAAGTAGCATGTTAAATAAATCCCTCAATTTTTATATGAATTTTGTACAAAATTACATGCATTTATTTTTATACTCTTGCAACATGTTGCTACGGAGTATGATAGTCTTTTCACCTAATGGTTATTTGAATCACTTAAAAATAATCGAGTTAGATAAAGGGTTGTATTTACTGTATATAAATGATCAGGATAATGAGACAAGTTTAATTCCGTGTAATTGTCTGTCCGTGCAAGCGATAACTTGAGTAAAAATTGAGATATCTTGATGAAACTTGGTAGACATATGCCCTAAGATATATGCTCCGCCCGCTAAATGATTTAATATACATATCTTTTAACTCACTGAATAAATGCGTCTGAGGCAATTTCACTACCAGGATGGTAGAGGAAGGCTATAGGATCTGATGTGAAAATTGGTCACCAAGAGTGGCACCCCCCACCTTTGAGTGAAATCCTATATCTCAGGAGCTACTCGATCGATTTCTAACAAATTTGGTGTGTATTTCTATTTGACGCTGCAAAAATGGGAAATCGGATGACAAACACGCCTACTTCCCATATAACAAACTTTTAAATTCCGTCTGATTCTTTCACTTAACAGTATACAAATCAAACATCAATAAAGTTATCAGAATAAAACTTAACAGAAAAAATCTCGAAAATTTTCATCTTACGTCCAAAATATGTTCATTAATAACTTGTGCCGAAAATGAGTAAAAGGTGGTCAACACTTATCTTTGCACCCACATAAATATTTTCGAACCACCAGTTCACTTTATATGACATCTATCGGTGCATATGTAAGAAATTTTAATGAAATTCGGAAAAATATCTTTCTAATAACAGTGTACCCTCTTAAATTAAATAGAGGAAATCACGGCGATACTTTCCTTAGTTTGATATAAAGTTTTGCCAAAACCTGAAGGTGTTTCTCCGCCTTTGTTCCTTGCAACTTAGTCCTTCCTTACTTGTTTAAATATACTGAAGATACTTTAACAAATACAAAAGAAAATAATTTGTAATTCTTTTTTATTCATTTTTGATTTTTGCAAATTTCGATGGAAAGTTCTCAAGCTGGACTTCAATATCATCATTTTAGTTTTTAAATTATAAAGTATAAGTTACCTATTAGTATTAAGAACTAAATCAATTAATTTAATATATGTACCTATATGTCCATAATGTGCGAATATTAACAGTTAGTTAATTAATGTAACTTTTATTGTAAACTATAAAAACTAAAAAAATACATAAGGTTCTTACCAAAAAAAAAAAAAAAAAATTATGTTGTACTATATGTATGTATATACATAGATTAAACATATTGAATGGTGCTAATGAACAAGGTGGTCTTTCTTCGTGGACGCACTATATGGAAAAGGTAAGACTTCGAGTTCAATCCTTTGAAATCTTATACCGGAAATAACCTTATCGTCTTTGTTTGTATATAATATTTTCATGTATTAAAGACCACGCATAGCCTATTGCCTACCAGAGTAACTGGCGTCCCTAAATAAAAGCGGCAGCGGTAATTACTGTACAAATTCCTCCTGCACATAGAGTTTGTATGCCGCATATTAATGATTGTACAAATGGATGCAAATATTAGGTAAAGTAAAAAGTTCGTTCGGTTTTTTATTGATTTTTCAAAAGATGATAACCTTGTGTACATCAAATATGCGCAGTTTTGTTCGTAAACTTGTTGCCAACGAGATGCCAACTTCATTAACCCCTCTCGTAGAAGACTGCGTCCCTATAGCCAAAAAACTCGGAGAGTCAATTTTCACAGGCCTCTCTTAAGGCCAACTTCTCACCATTAAGCGCGTTCGCCATGGACTGGAAAAGATGGTAATCACTTGGTGCCAGGTCCGGACTATAAGGTGGGTGCATTAGAACCTCCCATCCGAGCTCCAGGAGCTTCTAACGAGTCACCAAAGACGTGTGTGGCCCGATTTTGTTGCGATTCTGCAGTAATTTGCAGATGGAAATTCGGTCCATCATGTTTCTTACGTTAGTTCGTGTGACACCCAAACATCGAGCTCCTTTTTGAATCCAAGGTTATGCAAATGGTTCCAAACGGTTTTCTGGCTTATCTTTAGTTCCTCAGCAATTAAATAAGTGCTCACGTGACGGTATGTTTCCACTATTTCACTTTGACATCGAAATTACCGGAACGGAACCTAGCAAATCACTTTTGTGCTACACGTTCGTTTACAGAATCGGGCCCATAAACTAAATTAATGTTTTCAGCCGCTTTGGCTGCTTTTTCGCTTTGATCGAAGAAAAATTGTAAAATATAGCGAATTTTCTTTTTGTTGGTGTCCATCTTTGACGAGCGCTCACAACGAACTGAGTAAATCAATCGAAAAACTGTCAAAGACAAACTTTTAGCGCGAATAAACACGTTTTCAGCGCCGTAGAGTATGACATGATGCGACACGTAACACTAGTACTATGGACAATAACGCCATCTCTTAGATAAAAACCGAACGAACTTTTTACTTGACCTAATATTATTAATTTATTAATGCGTTTTGCATTTCATTTATTTTGTTCTAACTTTAGAATTAAAGTGATAATTTAACGTAAAGTTTCCGCTTTATTTAGAGTTGACAGTCTTTGGTCGGAAAAATCCGGGTCCGTTTCGGTTCGACTGTTATGGGAACGGGGCGAGAGATGCCGCGTCGACGTTAACGCTGAGCGGTAAAAAACGCGCCGCTAGTACATAGGTTACTATAATATTTAATGTATACCCTGGACCGTAGAGGGAAAACCGTGGCTCAGAGGGATATGGAGCGAGGTTCCCCTGATCCATCAATTTATTGAAATTATATTTTATTGTATTTGTTTAAAAAAAAACTAAATTAGTTTCATATTAACATACGTATATTTTTGGTTTATTTTATTACATGTGCTTGAGTACATATGTATATGATAACTCAGGTAAAGCATCTTGAAGAAACATTGATGCTGATCTCAAAAAAATTAATTTTTCATTTGATGTTGACCGCTGAGAAGCATAATTTTAAATTATAACATTACAAGCAAATATTTTTATAAACTAGAGTATTTAATATTGAAAACATTTGTAGTGAATTGTTGGAAAAAAAATTTGCCAAAAATTGTTGCAAAGCAGTGGGCTCCCTGATAATTCCGAGCCCCGATCTTTCCTACTCTCTCCTGTACTCTGTACACCTTAGCCACAGCAACGTGCGGCCGGATCTTCTAGTATATATCTAACATATATATAAATGATGTGTCACGTGGTTTGTCAGGGGTAAACTACTGAACCAATTTTGGTAAAAATAGCACAGTGTTCTGTTTGATTCAACTTAAAACATAGGATAGTTTATATCTAAATTTAGTTAAAAAATTTTCATTAAGCTCTACTATTGACCTATAGCTATCGCTGCCAACAGCTCGATTCCAATGATACACATTATTTAGAAGATATGGTGCTTTCTAAGCTAATTCTATATTCAAAGCGGCAATTTACATTCTGAAAAAGTCAACACTTTTTGAAAAACCCAAATAAACATTTAGTTCTTATCATAACAGTATTAATATACATACGTTAGTGCCGGGTACACGTCATATATGCACCGAAATGCATAATAATGGTCTATAATAAATATGATGTCAACAATGAATTATCTTATCCTAGTTATAATAGTATCAATCTAAATTTAGTATTACCTTGCGGACGATCTTCTGTAAAGTCTGCAATAATCCCGCTGTAATTATTGAGTTGAGGATTCACAATTTGTTCCTCGCTTTGTCTTTGAATATTTAAAAGTTTAGATTCAGTAATTATTTCCTCGCTTTCGGATATTTCTTCTATTAAATCCACTGTGTCATCCAACGACAGTTCTGTATCTACAAGAACTTTCGACTCAATTGCTTCTGCAGTATCATCGTCAAATGATTCTAAGCTCTCATTCGAGCTTTCGGCTGAATTTTCGTTTAGGGTTTTATTGTGCAATTCATCAATAATTATATTTTCAATTAATTCACCAAATTCAGATTTCTCTATTCGAGATATCTCGTTTTCACAATCAATAACTATGGGATCTATGTTGTACATTTGAACAGTTTGATTATACGCTTTGATTATTTTTATACGCAGTTCACAAAATTTATGAAGCAATTTCTCAAACTCCAAAGTATTTTTATTGCAAGACGCGCAGAGCAACTACAAGAAAAAAGTTATATTTAATCCAAAGAGAGCTGTTTGTTTCTTACATTGGAATGCGAGTTAATTTCATCTAAATCTCTGCCTAAAGCAGTTGCCAATATAAGAGATAAAGGGTTATCAATTCCGCCATCGTCACGCAGACGGATTTCAAAAATTAGGAAAGTATCTTCCCCTTCAACAAAATTGCGATCACAGAGGAAACATTTGGCATTTTCTAACATAAAGTCATGCTGGACTAAAGTGTTTCCTTCATTTAATTGTGATTCACCATTAAAGTAATTTTTTTCTGAAGTTAACACCATATTTGACCGATTAGTATCAATTGAGGTTAAGAAACTTGTAATAAGTTTTGTTCCACCTGCAAAACATTATTTCTTATTATTATAAATATTTCATAGCATTTTTAAAAAAGAATATTATACAACACCTTTCCAAGATTTTATAATATCAGAAACAAATACCGCGAAATTGTATACACCTTAAGTTATTAATATGTTTCTTTATTTACTTTAGATCATAGATAAAATGATCCGAAACTCCTATCTTTGCTTTCTGAGAGCTCATGAACTTTCAGTGCTGCTAAGAAAAACCACGAGTTCATGAGCTACTGAACAGATGACAACCAAAACAATGAACTACCACTAAAAATCCTGCAGAAATAAAATGCGAAATCAGTGGGTAATTTGTGAGATCAGATTTTTTGTTGACTTTTACGTATATTTGTAATCTTTATTTAAAGAGATTTAATATAGCTTTGATTTTAAGAAAGAGCGTGTATTTTGTCGCAGAGTATTGTTTTGCTAAGCAGTACCAATTGTCAACGTATAAACATATTTTGTCTAGAATTCCCGGCAAATGTTATGTAAACTTTGACTTCCGAATAAATTATCGAAAGATATTTGTTTATTCAGTATACAAAAACTAAGTAATGTTCATGTTTAGCTTATTTAAAACTTGTTTTGATATATTAAAATATTTTATTAAACTGAGTTTTAAAAGTTAATTAAGAAAATCTTTTGTAATTAAAATATACACGTACATATATATAGAAGTCGTATAGGATATTAAGCTTGTTCAACTAATTTTAATTATATATATTTTTCTGTAAAATGAAAACCGAAAAATACCCAAGAAATACATTAAAAAATCTCAAAACGTATTTCTTTCACTAGTGGCACCATTGTCAAATGTTATAAAAATGTGGCCTTTGACAACGCTCTCTCAAATCAAAGATTTTCGGAACATTTTATCCATTACTTTACTTTAGATAATACTAAAAGTTGTTCCCAAATCTCAAACTCTCCTAGATAATACATTGTATAAATCAATGTTCCCAAATCTCAATCATTTTTCTCCCTCAACCAACAACAAAACCCCCTAAATTCCCCTAAAAAAATTAATAAGATGATAATAAATTATTATTTATTAAATTATATATTTAATTATACTAACATTCATTTAGGGGGAATATCCGTATGTTGGTAACACTGTAATATACTCTGAACTTGCCAACATTCCAAAAGTAAATTCCACTGAGTGACGTAGACTTCAATATAGATGCGAAAATGTATATCTATAGTACAACTTTAAATTTGTATTGTACACTTTTCTGGTTTAAACTTCCTAAATTTCTCATACCCTGCTTCAGTATATTCAACAAACTTTTAAGAAATTAATTATTTTTATTAGATATTTAGGGAAAAATCCCCTGAGCTGGCATCACTGGTATAAATATACAAGCAGAGAATGTTGATGAGTAGAGAAGGAGCAAATGTAACTTCGAAAAAGAAAAATACACCACACAATATGCGAAATGCTATAAATAGACACAACGAATATTCCTATATGAAAAATCGTTGCGCATACCTATTTAGATTTATGTTTTCAATTTCTATGATATGACAAATTTATAATTATGAAAAGCCTTCTGAATTAAAAATCTGTATTACCGGTAAAAACCCCAGAATTCATAATAAAATAAACATTAATAGCTAGTTTTCGAACTTATGTATTGCGTTGCGTAAGCAATATACTTATTAAACAAATGATAATAATAAAACGGTGGCTAAGCGGCCACGTTTCCACTTTTGTGTGGCTTAGGTCGTAAGCGCGAAGGAGTTAAGCTCATTCCGAATACGACATATACGTTCGAATCGTAAAATACATAAAATTAAAATTGTATTTAATTTTTTATTATTAATTGGAATCTAAGCATATCATAATTCAATTACTTTAAAGCATATTTTACTTCCTGAGATAATTAAATATATCAGGAAAATATAATATGTTCATATGTTTAGGTTTATTGAATATTTCCTTATATGCGTATTTACACAATGTGATAATCACACATACATTCTTAAATACACGTACGCTGATGCTGCTTCTTCTTGCCCGCACAAGCAATGACTTTGTCTACGCTTTTTGCTTATTGCGAGTTGAACGATCGCAGGCAAGGAGGGATTGGGCGCACCGCCACATAATTATTCAGATATATATTTTATTTATCGAATTCAGTTTGAAAACGATTATAGGTATGAATTTATTGGTAATATATATATATATATATATATAATATATATTATATTACGAAAATAATTCATAAATGCATCAGTATTTTCAATACAAATTAAGCAACATATCAATATATTATGAGCCCTCACTTGACACGCCTATGTGCATGGTGGCAAGCCAACGAAATAACGGCGAGTTCGCGCGACATTGTGTTTTGAAAAACCAAATGACGACTTTGCCGACAAACATACATATTTATATACATACATACAACGAGCTCGCATACATATTGACGCCAAATTTTGCGCATCGTCGCGGAGTTGACAAAATTTGTTTCAATCGACAATTATGCGACAATGTCGATCGGCTATTTGTCTCGTTTGTCCTTTGCAGTGGTTTGCTATTGAAAGTTGACTTATGCTCTTTGAAAATTGCGATTACCAATTGGGCTGCATTTTCAAAGCGTCGTATTTAGATAAAATGGGCTAAATCGAAAAACTATGAGACAATGATAATAAGTAAACATATAAAAGTACTATATGGACTGTGCTTAGAATATATAGAAGTAGTTAATGATTTCATATGAAAGTCAATTTGATATAAATTTTATAATTTAATGCCATAAATAGTGCATTATATGAAAAATATAAATATATTAAACTCGCTAATAGGTCATGTTGCCCATTCTCCTTTCTGAAGTGAACATCAGACAAATTCTTCAATTTCTGATTTTTAGCAAATGTTGTGAGGAAGCAGCTTGTGGGTAACATACAAATGCGAGGGGGATGGTAGGATTTTCAGTGGTGGCTGTCAAATTGTAAAATTGAATTATTCTCGTTTTACTCAATTTCATTCATTCATTATTTTTTAATTTAATTTCGCATATGCGTATATGAAAACCAAATGTGGTTTACCAGGCGCACAGAAAAAATAGCGCGGCGCAGAGCTTTGAACGAGCGCAGTTTGCTTTGAAGCAGACGCACGTTCCTTATGAATGAATTTGTTGTCGTTGTAATATGAAATACTTAGAAAATAAGCCGCGAGTTCGCTTGAATATTATTGGTCGATGATGGTGCGTCTACGTTTTTTTTGTCACTTGCGCGAGTGTTTGATTTTTTGCGAAAGACATATTGAGGGACATACATATGTAGAGTACTGATGCATTTATGAATTATTTTCGTAATATAATATATATAACACATAAATTCATACCTATAATCGTTTATAAACTAAATTCGATAAATAAAATATATATCTGAAATAATTATGTGGCAGTGCGCCCCAATCCCTCCTTGCCTGCGATCGTTCAACTCGCAAAAAGCAAAAAGCGTAGACAAAAGTCATTCCTTGTGCGGGGCAAGAAGAAGCAAGCATCAGCGTACGTGTATTTAATAATGGATGTGTGATTATCACATTTGTGTAAATACGCATAATAAGGAAATATTCAATAAACCTAAATATGTGAACATATTTTCCTGATATATTTTAACTATATCAGGAAGTAAAATATATAATTAAAGTAATTGAATTATGATAAGCTTAGATTCCAATTAATAAAATAAAAAAAATTAAATTTAATTTAATTTACATGAGATTTAGGACTCGAACTTATATGCTCGTATTCGGAATGTGCTTAATCCCTTCCCGCTTACGACTTCAGCCACCACAAAAGTGGAAATGCGGCCGCTTAGCCACCGTTTTATTGTTATCCTTTACTCAATAAGCAATTGCTCACGCAACGCACATACATAAGTTGAAAAAATTGCCTATTAAATGTTTATTTTATTATGAATTCTGGGGTTTTTACCGGTAATACAGATCTTTAATTCAGAAGGCTTTTCATAATTATAAATTTGTCATATCATAGAAATTGAAAACATAAATCTAAATAGGTATGCGCAATGATTTTTAACACGCTTATATTAGTTTTACTTGTATGGCTGTTTGTAACTAAAAAACTAAACTCAACACGATTACAAAGTATGCGCAAAATGTTTGCATACTTTTTAACACTCTTTTATTAGCTTCAATTCTATGTGTGTCTGTATGTTTGTAATCAAACTAAACCCAACACGACTACAAAGTATGCGCAAAATATTTGCATACTTTTAGGCATATTTTGGCATCTCAAAGGGAACAAATCAACTGAACGGACAACAAAAATCATAATATTTAGGATAACATTTTTTAATGGTAGATCAAAATATGGAATTTAATAAAAAATAAAAAATAATTGAATAAATGAGAAGTTAGTATTGCTTACAATATTTTTATTATCTTACAAGAGACTTAAACTATTCAGGAATTTTTATTATTGAAACTATAGTTTTATGGTAACTGAAATAAGATGCATAAGTTTGAGACTTGACATCCTCTAAATATCTGGAAAATACCGCGTGAATGGTGTTTCCATATTTTGTAGTGGATTCTTGTGGATCAATATTCATTTTCAAATTCAATCTTTCCCAAAGAAAATTTGTCAACCGCTCTGACTTTTTATCAGCGAAGTTGATGTTGAAAACGCCACCGAAGCAGAGAATGTTAATGAATAGAGAAGGAGCAAATGTTAGCAGTACTAAAATCAGAGAATGTAAACAGAGAACGTAAATGAATTCATTTACGTTCTCTGGCTATTGCGATTACCGATTGGGCTGCATTTTCATAGCGTCGTATTTAGATAAAATGGGCTAAATCGACAAACTATGAAATAATGATAATAAGTAAACATATAAAAGTACTATATGCAGTGTGCTTAGAATATATAGAAGTAGTTAATGATTTCATATGAATGGCAATTTTATATAAATTTTATAATTTAATGCCATAAATAGTGCATAATATGAAAAAATATAAATATTATTTAAACTCGCTAATAGGTCATGTTGCCAATTCTCCTTTCTGAAGTGAACATCAGACAAATTCTTCAATTTCTGATTTTTAGCAAATGTTGTGAGGAAGCAGCCAGGACATACAAATGAGGGGATGGTAGGATTTTCAGTGACCAAATTGTAAATGAAATTTTATGATTCTTAATTTACTGAAACATAAATTCAA